AATATTACTCTGCAAGGAGGAGATGGGTAACTGTATTTTCTGTTCGACTGACAGGTTTGTTACTTCTACAATGCTCTTTAAAAAGCAGTCTTAATTTCTCTCTGCCTATGCTTATTAGGCATTAATGAAAAAAAATAGGAAGGCTTAGAAAAAATAAGTTATTTATAAATTTATTTTGCCTTTTTTAAAAAAATACATATTTTGGGTTCCATGTCCCCTATTTTTTCAAGATAACATAGCATGAAAAGTAGGTTTTGTTTATTACAAAATTTGTTTATGGCAACTTGCTTTAAAAGCTCTTTTGAAAAGAAAAGAATCTGAATGCTGTTGTAAAATGATCATCAGAAGCCTGATTAACTTTAAAAAAAAATCATTTATCAAGCATGTTTTTCTAAAAATGTTTAAAACAATAAAAATATGCAGAATATTCAGTAGACAGGCAGAGCTGCTTCTTAGCAATACTCGTGGTTTTGCAAAATTAAATCTTAATGAGTATCAGCTGCCCAGGTCCAATGGTGTTTTAAGTAGTTGTATAAATCAGTAAAGAATCTTCAATGGTATGGAATAATTACACCAATCTGAACATGCAGTCTTCACACCAAACAAGTGTAATACAGGAAGCTGAATAAAGAATGAGCTGGAAGATAATTAGAATATAAAGTCTTAGTTTTGCAGAACTTTTTAAATATAAGACTAATCCCCAGGAATAAAAACTGTTAAAATTTAGGAAGCAAACTAAAAATTTGGTTGCTGCTTTTTGTAAGGATAGTGGAAAGTTTTTTGGGATTACAGCATGTATGTAAATTTAAGAAAACTTATTCCTTAGCAGCCCTTTAATGAATTTTTACCATTTAAGCATGCAATACAAGCTTCTTAATGTCTTGCTCTGTTGCACTTAAAAATAGTGATAAGGAGTGCTCTTAGTACTATAATTATTGTACATTAAAAATATTTTTGATTTCTTCAGAGATGTCGTAATTTTAGTTTCTTTAGGAGAAAAAAACACTAATATATCTACAAGTAATCAGAAAAAACACCAGAATTTCAAATCTCTTCTGTGCTGGCAGTACATATGTATCAGTTTCTGTGTTTTGCTTTGAAGTGATGAGGAAAGCATCACTCATTGTGGTGTGAAGGAGGAGTGAAAATCCTGACAGAATCTGTAGGCATCTTTCTTGGTTTTGAAATAAACCTTTCCAGCTCATCTTAAAGGAATGATATTTCTTTTGATATCTATATTTTAGATGGTAGTATATAAAAAAAACCACAGCAAATATTTGTTTATTATTGACTGTCTGAAATAGCAGTGCTTAAATAACAGTAACTCTCAGTACACTAACCTTCTGTAGAACTTGTGCAATAAACATTGTAGTTACCTATGTTCTAATATTGTGAGGTGTGCTTAGGTAACAGGAGGGACCTAAGTAACTGAAAAAAAAAAGATGCCCTACATATTTTTCAAATTGTCATAATGTTTTTGTTTCTAACACAAATTAACATTAGATGTTTCTTTTTCAGGGTCTGATTCTCACTCTCCAGATTCAGGTAAATAAAATACTGTGTTATTTATGCATCAGTGTAATACCATGTAAGTGGATGAATTATAACAATCTTCCATTTATTTGATTTCATTACTCCATACATCCACATACTTTAAGGAAAGCAACTGAAGTAATAATAATTGCAAGTGGTTAGGACCTCAAATTCAGGTCTCATTTGAAACAAGTGTTTCCCGTAGCACAGGATGTGTTGTCAGAAAATTAATTGTGTGGGAGAACACAGACTGCTAATTTGGCACCTTTAGCTTCAGTGGCACTTGCTATTTCATTTTTAGTTCCTTACTCAAGATTGCAAGTTCTGCCCACCCCACTTAGCAGCCTGCTCACATAATGTGTTACTTTTCCCAGCCTCTTACAATATTTTGTCTTCAAATCTGTAACTTGTTGAGGCAGGATAGTATCTCCCTCTATGTTTGGACAATGTCTTGAGGGCTTTTTGACTCTGAGGACAGAGACAAAACATGGCTGGTTGGTTAGAAAATTGAGGTGTCGTTCAGATTTGTAAATAATTGCAGTATTGGAACAACTAATCAGGTATCGTGGTGAAATTTGGTGAAACTGCCGTGACCAACTAACTATACGTAAGCTGGGATGTTTTTCAAAATCTGACACAGCTATGAAGTTCAAGAACCTAATCTATGGAAGTGTTTCAGCCTCCTTTATGCAGGAGCTGAAGCACCACCATCTCAAAAGGACTCCCGAGGTTAAAATAGATAGTCTGTACAAATATTGTGGGGAGATATATCAAACTGCTACTAGCATGGTCAGTGCTTGAGTTTTCTAAATTTTAAAGATAAATAGTTTGCAAAGGGGAAGCTTTAGCCCTCTTCTTATAACTTCCATGATGGTAACAGCTGCAATGTCAGCTGTGTAGTAGCTAAACTTTTACACAGTTTAATAGCTGGGTTGCTATGATGATAGTAATATAGAGATCTACTAACCACAAAGAAAAAAAAAAAAAAAAAATTGATTCTTTTTTCCTCACAAAAGCTTGGAGATCTTACAATGATGGAAGTAGAGAGACACTGAATGGAGATGCTAGCGGTTCATCTCTTACAGCAAAAGGTTTTAGGAGTGTGCGGCCGAATCTGCAGGATAAAAAATCACCAGCTCAGGTAAAACTGAACACACCAAGTTTCACGCTTTGGCATTTGTGTGTGGGTTATTCTCGGGGGATAGCATATATAGATGGGGATACCTCTACAGAACATTGTCCTGATGTTTTCCAGATAGTGGGAATCACCTGTTCATATAAGTCGTTACAAACTGTTTTACTTCATAGGTAAAGTATACTTCACACAGGATGCATGCCTCCAGATTAATTACCAGAAATTGCTTTCAATGAACAAAACAGCCAGCTAACTAAAAGTAGGTCATACACAAATACAAGCTTTCTAGGATCATTCCCAGACTTCAAAGCATATTTATTAATATTTTGCACTCGGAGAAATGCATCAGTCGTCAAAATAATATCTGAGGATAAAGGTTTATTAATTATACGGTAGACAATGTTTCTGCCTGTTTGGCAGAAAACAATATAATTAGAGCACACTAAAAAAAAACAAAAAAAACCCCCACACTCAATACTTCAATACTTGGAAACATGTTTATCTGTCCAAAAAAGATCAACATACCAATGTCATTACTCTGTCTGTTGCTATTTTCATTCAAAGGTTCAAGAGGCTCTGTGTGTTTTATATGTGTCTTACCTGTGAATAATAGCTTGTTATCTTTTGGAAATTGCTTACATATGTGAACAGTTTCATAGGAATAATTCTTAACGCGGTGTAACAATAGTTTTTTCACTCTGAGCAAATGGAACATATGGCTTTCTAAACACAAGCCATGCACCACAAAAGGTGGTGGGAACCTGACCAATTCAATTGTCCATTGAATCGAGCAATGTTGGGGTAAAGCCCTTTAAGTTGCTAGTTCCTTATTTAAAGATAAAAGTCAAACTGAGTTATATCTTCTGCTAACATTTACTTTCTTTCTGTTTCTTCTTCAATGTTATTTTGCTGTATGTCGATGCTTTTGGCAAATAAGGCACCTCTGCCACCTCCTAGAAAAGAAAGTTTTCGGAAAGCAAGAGTAACTAATCACAAGAACGAAATTAACCTCCAGGCAGTAACAACCGATCCAGCTAAACGCCTTCCCGCAGATACTGCCTATTGCACTAACGAGAAGTCTGTCCAGAAGACAATGTCTTCCCAAATATCTAACACAAGTGTGTCCTATGCACAAAAAATCACTAAACCACTGACCTCGATGTCCAGTGCAGGCACAAGCACAGTAGCTGGTATTAGTACTACTCTCCATCAAGGCCAAAGGCAGCAGTCTCAAAAACGTAGGGTATCCACCCTGAAATTAACCCGGACACGTGATCCAGTGAGCAGCATTCATTGTAATACACAGCAACAGCTCAAGCCTGTTGAAGTGCCAGTATTTCCACAGAGGCCTGTCTCACCTGCCTGTAACCCCGTGCCCGAGATACACACAGCATCTCTTTCCATTCAGATAGCTCCCATCCCTGACAATAAAGCAGAGCCTGAAATCCAGGAACATCCACCTAATATTTCTCCAGACATTTCAAAGATGTCTTCAGAGGATTTGGGACAAAAGTCTACACTTCTTCGTCCTTCACAGGCTGCAGAATGCCATGTGGTATATTCAATGTTTCCATCTTTTATTTTAGATCATTCATGAATCACTTAATAACCCTCTGTTTAGCTATACTTACATTATCAAAGTGAGACCTTGTGTGTTCTGGGTAAAACTACCTGTCACATGGATCAAAACAGAACTGAACAAAACCTGAAGTTTTTGGAAGGGTATTAAAAAAAAAAAAAAAAAAATTTACCCAGCTAGACTTCTTTGCTCTCTGTGAGCACTTTATGGAGTGCAAAAGCACAGCAGGGAGTTAGTGGATTGTAGATGATGCATCTGCTTAAGTGGCTTTCCCCAGAGAGGGTTGCATTAAAGTGTTGTGCTGCCATAGGTGCTGGAAGGATCAAGTACAGATAGAAAAGGGTTGGGTTGCAGGGAGTTCTACAATGCAGCTCTACCAGTTTGCTGGTTTTCCCACCAAAAATATATTTTCTCAGTCAGTGCTTTCTGCAAGACTAGTCACTGCTGTCTCCTATGGGTCCTGTGCAACAGAGCTTTCTAAAGAAAATAGGTTGATAAAATCTTTTGTCAACCACCTCTACATGAAGCATCACAAGGCACTGAACTTTTAAGTCCCTCTGTTTCCCCTATATACTATGCCTACTGAAATGAAAATTCTTTCTTAACTATACTACTCTTATCTAGGAGAAATGGGAGTACCGAGAACACAGTATGGGACCAGAGGAGTCTGAGCAGGGCTTACCACTATTCAGAAAGTTACTGAGTCAAATAAAACAAGCCTGGGAGAAATAAAGCAACAGCGAATGCATAGTAAGCGAAAGGGGAGCTCTGAATAAACTTTGTCATTTATGCTCTGCTTTACCTAGTCACATTAAGATTTTTCTATTTTGTAAGTTCATTATTCTAGTATATCTACCAATATACCAGCTTATCTGAGTTTGAAAGCCCTTCAGTTGGAGGCAGAGATTGCTATAGGTCCAGGCATATCTGCCTCTGAGCTTTGTCTAAACAAGAATCCCATCATGGTGTATTTGTGTCCATCTAGTTCTGCTGAAATCAGTGGGGCTACTCTGAAATAAATATGGCATCATCTTGCAGACTTAAAGTCCATTGACAGCCCTATTGTCAATAGTAGTAACACATCTGCTCTCTGACTGTGGTTCTTTCAGAACGTCACATTCAACCAGGTCTTTACTCTGAAAGCCAAAAGTATCTGCATTAGCTACAGGATAGTGTTACCAGTTGTAATATGTCAATTTCTCCCTTCAACTCCCAAGTAAAAATTTTGATCGGAACAAAGTTCTGTGAAATTATATGGCAACAATTTGCAATGCTTCTTTTGAATTCACTCCATTAACAAATGGGAGCACTGAATAATTAATCACATTTGTCATTCTCAAGATTAGAGCCAAAACTATCATCTTAAACCCTTCTATTAGGCTACATAAAATTCTGAACATTTTGAGAAAAAAAAAGTTGCTTTACCCTTGAGAAGAAGCAGTTTGCTGCTTAGTGATTTTTGTTAAGTAGAATGGCTCAGCTCAAGCAAGAGCCACAGTAAAGAGATCATGTCAGAAACAGTAATGAAGGCCGAGCAAGAGTTTTTTTCTGGTAGATAGGGTGGGTATGAAGATTTTAGGAAGCAGGCTTGTAAGCTTTTAAATATTGGCATCAAGGGATATGGTCAGACAGCGGAACAGATGTAGATGTGGTTGATAAAACTTATGCATCTCTGTTTTTTTTTCACTTAAAAATATTTGTTCCACCTATTAGCAATGTGATGCATTATATGTGCTCAGATAAATCAAAGTGTCTCTCAAACAGAAAGCAGTTTTATGACAGCTAAGAAGAATTAGGGGAAATACTTTTTTTTTATTATTCAAACTTTAATCAGAATGACTAAAAATAATGTATTTCCTAGCTACATTTTTTTGAATTTTAAAAATCAAAACATATTTTGCAGTTTCTCTTTATTTTAGAATCTCTTTTAGTTTCACTGTGAGCAGACAGAAATCAGAAAAAACAGCTTTTGTTTGACAAGACTTGTTTAGCAATTCTTCACTTTATTTTTCTGTCTTCTGCTTGGTTTCAGTGTGTGGGAAGAATGATCAGAAATTTGGCACTGGGTTTCTTTGAATAAAATGATAAAACTTTCAGTTGATCACAGGGATCATTAAGGAATGTAGCCAGCTTTTCAGACTGCATACCTTTTTTGCTCTGGATCATCTCTTTCTCTGAGTCATCATGCTTGTGTGATGCTGTGCTTGAAGAGGACTGTGATGGGTTTGCCCTTGGCTGGGAGCCAACTCCACAAAGCTGCTCTATCACCTTCCCCCCTCCTGGGGATGGGGGACAGAATTAAAGGGGTAAAGGAAAAAAAGCCTCATGGGCTGAGATAAGAACAATTTAGTAATTGAACTATAATAATATTGAAAATAATAGTAATGATGACAATAATAGTAATAAATACAAATATACAAATGAGTCATACACAGTGATACTGCTCACCACCTGATGACCAAGGCTCAGCTCACTCCCAACTAACGATCCCAGAACAGGGAGAGTCCCAAAACCACACTCCTGGAGCAGAGATAATAGTCCGAGCATCAGAGACCAAGAGCTGACTGAGGGAGGGAGACGACCCTGGGAGAGGGACCACTCAGAGCGAGGTGACCCGGAGCAAGAGATGATCCAGAGCAAAAAAGGGACAAGAGAGCCCTCAGCTATATACTGGGCATGATGTGCATGATACGGAATAGACTATTGGCCACTTTGAGCCTCAATCCTAAACCTGAAATCGAATCCTAGGCTAGTAATCGGGGCTGTGCTCCCTCCCAACTTCTCCTGCATCTGCAGACACTGGCACAGCAGAGAAGCTGAAAAGACCTTGACTGTCCTGGCAACAGCTATAAGCATCACTGTTAGCAGCTTTCTTCTTAGCACAAATTTAAATCGCATCCTCTTACTAGCTATTATGAAGAAAGTTAACTCCGTCTCAGCTGAAACCAGGACAGTCCCAAAGCCAAGATGCCATGGGCTACAGTTAGAAATTAAGGCTACAGCTATATTTCTAAAAAAAAATGTATTTTCTGATTCAGATCTCTGGTTGAAATCTTGGAACTATCTTAACTAGTGACAAAAATTTTGATCCCCTTTAGTGCTACCTCTCATGGTATTTGCAAAGTTCACGATTTCTCTCCCATAGACATACTAACTTTCAGTATACTATGCCTGACAGCACTTTCATTTTTAAAATTGTTTTAGATTTGCAAGCTCTACAGGACTTTGTACACCAGTCAAAATACTTTTGTACATGCAGACCATAGGTTGTTATGATAAGCTATATCCTCTAGGGATGCTCTTGGACTGCAGATTAGGCCCACCAGCAATGTTCAAAACTGACACAGAAACTCTCAAAAACCAAATACATTTAGAAAGGCTCTGTAAAACCAAACTACTCTCCTTCTGCCTCTGGCTTTATGTATGT